TACCGACTAATTTGTCATTTGAAATTTTTTCGTTTTCAATAACCTCTGTCACTTTCTTCGCTATCGGAAGCGAATTATAATGACGAGAAATTTGATTTAAGTCATATCAAAGATGGAGTACATCGAGATGAAATACTACATTTAATAAGGAATTATAAGCCAAATAAAATAAAAACATCTGCCCTGAAGATAAGGATAGTGCTGACAGATCAACTTCCAATTCATTGCGCAGCGCACGCGTTAAAGATAACAAAGTTTAGATACACAACGTTAAGTTTAGATAAACAAAGGATATGCCTTTATCCATTTTTTGTAACAATTCCACTTTTTGTTTAATGAACTTCAAACATACTTTCGCTTTGTAGATCATTTACATATTAATAATATATATCAGAAATTTATTTGACTAATTGAAAGTTCAAGCTTACTTTTATAAAATTGCTTAACAGTCTGCAAAAAATAATAAACCGTATCCAATTCGAAGATTAAGGAACAACGCAATCTCCAACATTAACTGAAATAGATAATTAAATAATTTTAGCTTACCTTATACTGTCCGTTATACATTAAATGCGCACTCGTAAACGTATTTTGTGCACGCGCACAAGCACATTCTCAGCCGTAAAGGCCTTATGCGCATGCGTCACAGAAAGTTTGAAGCTTTGAGGTCCGGATTATGGGTGTCCGAATTAACAACTTTTGACTGTACTTCTTTTACTAAGACAAGTTGAAAGGTTGCAGCATCATTGAATTTCATCTCCGAAATACAATTTTTTTCATGATTATCATCACAAAGAATATGACAGATTCTTCTTCTGTTCCAAGCAAATCACAAATTTTCATTGGTTTTTCATCCAATTTTCGAAGTATTAGGATAAAGACGTTAATTTAAGAATTTACTATGGTTTCATGGTACAACATTCTGATTCGCTGGTTCATATCACGCGACCTCAAGTGATCTCACCTCACGTAAACTACACTCCAGAAATCTAATTCTCTCAGTAATTCTCTACATTAATTTCAAGTTAAATCTTAATAGGGAATATAAGTTTAAATGCAAGAATTATTTTAATTCATATGAGCTGCTTATTCAGTAATTATGAAAAACCAATGTGCTTAATTTTATTAGTGCATTCTCATTAGAATTGATGAATTTAACCTTTGACTTTTTTATATTTCTGCCTTTGGGAGAGAGGTGTGATTGCACCCTTATTTGACTTAATTATCACGAATGGCCCTAGAGTATAAAACTGAGCTATCTGGTAAAAATTCTATGTAATCGTACGCCAGTATTGAAAGAAATATTCAATGATCAATCTGATAAGAAATGGCAGTGATTTGTTTCGAAAAAGTAGCATAAAAGGTTACCAGCAGGATATTCCATTTGGGGCAACTTTATCGCCTGAGGCGGCAAAATGGATACCAAAACAAATCCGTATCATGATATGGAGTTGAATGAATTCAATATAAAAAAGAATCAGGAAAGCTTGAGCTGCTACTTGAACTACATACATTATTAGGTATGCTACAAAATGGCCAATATAAATCTTGGAAGAAAGAAATAGAAAAGTCTAATGAAGAAAAGGGGGAAAAAGTATTTCAAGGTACCCTTTGGCGAAAATTGGTGATTTTTTGGCGCCAATCTTGTTCTCCCAAGCAAAATATCATCCAAAACATATTGCCAATAAACATAATTAAAGCTTTAAAAAATTATAATATCAATAAACTGTAATTTAAATACAAATAAAACTAGGAAATAATATAAAAATGGAAATACATGTTATATAATCTGCACAGTACAAAAAGGAAATACAGACTTAACCTTATTTAGAAATTTCTGTCTTTGGTGTGGCACACAGAATTCCTTAACAGCATCCAAAAACTATTTCAAATTATCTGAGCTAAACTCTGTATACTGCCTTCGCCACATAAATTCATTGACATAAAAATAAAAAATATCCTCCAAACTGCTAGTAGCATTTCTTTCAAAAATCCCTTTTTTGTTACACCCCACATACTTTGCATAGTGCTGATATCAGCTCCACTTTCCGAATCCTTAAATGTCATTGCATAATTTACTGAGAAGTGAATGAACCTATTTAAATCTTCATTTACACACCAGTCAATGAATGTTTTCCTTCTCATTCGTTCCAACTCATTGAGAAACTTAAGGTTAATCTTAGCACTGGTAGCCAATAGGGTTTCCAAAACATTCACCGTAAAATACTCAGGTTACCATAAATATAACAACAACTTTGTGATAACCCAAGGGGTATCCTAAACTATATACAGTCAAAAGTCTTTAATCCGGAGTCATGAGGACTTCGGCGATTCTGGATTATCGGTTTTGCCGGATTATAGATCATCAGTTTAAATCTGGTAAGATGGCATTCAGAAATAAAATTAAAAATATGAAAACGTAATTTATGAAATAAAGAGCAATTATGATCTAAAGGGTATCAAATTTACAAAAAAAAAAAAAAAAAAAGAAGCTGAATATTTATTTGTTTACTTTATTAAACATTTCTTTCAAAGCACGCTTGGGTAAAGCATACATTACTCATAGTCGAAATTAGAAAATTGCAACCTGGAAACTATTTGATGTATATTTGTGATATTTATAATGACGTGGAAATTTATTTAAATCATATCAAAGATGAAGTACATCAAGATGCAACGAGATGAAATACTAGATCTAGTAAGGAATTACAAGCCGAATAAAATAAAAACATCTGCCCTGAAGATAAGGAAAGTGCTGACAGATCAACTTCCAGGCAGCAGTTCCACTTTTTGTTTGATGGACATCGAAACATGCTTTCACTTTGTAGATCCTTTGGCAGCTCCAGAATCGGAAATTCTTTTTGACATAATCGAAAGTTTAAGCTTACTTTTATAAAATTGCTCTAACAGCCTGCAAAAAATAAGCCGGATCCAATTAAAAGATTAAGGAACAATGAAAACTGCAACATTAACTGAAATAGATAATTAGATAATTTTAGCTTAGCTTATACCATCCATTATACATTAAATGCGCAGGCGTAAATGTATTATGCGCGTACGTAAACGCATATGCGCAGAAAGTTTGTAGCTTTGAGGTCCGGATTATAGATCATTTCGGATTATGGACGTCCGGATTAAAGACTTTTGACTGTACTACTTGAGAAAAGCTACTGTGAGCCATTTCATAAATTTCTAAAAATACGTCTTAAAAAAACAATTCAAGTATAAATTGAAGTTCACTGTAATGACTGTGAAAGATTTTAAACTTTACTTTTCTGTTTTGTAAATATTACTGATGATATTTCATACGCTGGCAGTAATTTTACCTAGTGAAGTCCACTAACTAGAATATCTAACTTAAATACATAAGAAATCAAGATTTCCTAAAATCACACAATTTCTTATTTAACACTTAAATAACCTTTAAAATTAATAATCAATTGTTACTTTATACTGAGATGATGGTATTATACATAACAAAGGATATTTGTGATCTAATACATATTAAAGAATAGTATGACACTCTAAAGCCCAATACTTATTTTATTGGTATTAAAAATAGGCAATAATAAAAATCTCTCTTGTAGATTAAATTCTTAAAAATTAATTACAGTGAGTTTTCATCCGCAGAGAAGCCGCGCATTTTTACTCGCCAAGCTCGCGGCTAATCATAAAACGTTATTTTTTCTGATTTTTTTAACAACGAATAGATAGAAATATTTTCGTATAATTAAAGAAGTTTTTGTAGATAGATGCAGGTTCTCAGTTCGTCAGTTTGGGATGAAAGGAAGAAAATGTGGTGGGAAGGGTGAATGCTAATTTGTAACACGGAATGTGCATTTTAAATAATTAAGTAATGCTTTTATTTTTACAATTGGTTATTGTCATCTAAAATTATGAGAAGAAATCAATTTTTATGGCATAAAATTTTAACAAGATAATAGTTGTTTGTTTACTCGCCAAGCTCACGGCTCATCGTAAACATGATATTTTGTAAACGTGATTTTTAGTGTATGTAAATTCAAGTTAGCAGACAAAACAATATATTAAGCATATGGTAGTAAAAATTCACAGATAATATGCATGTAGATGTAAAACTAATCGGTTAAACGTGATATATGAAAATAAATTTGTATTAAATTCAAGTTAGCACAGAAAAGAATATATTAATATATAAGCCAAGACAATATATAAGCATTTATAACAGAAATAAAAATTCATTAAAAATATAAATTAGTATTAAACTGAAATTAACCCGTGTTATAAACGTGATATAAAAAAAAAAAATTGTCTTAAATTCCAGTTAGCACAGAAAACAATATATTCCTTACACCAGCAATGGTTTGGTAATTTTGATGACCATGGGGATGCAAACTATTCTGTCATCTTAGATAACCAATAATATTTTTTATTTCAATTTCATCATCTATTTATGTCACGCCTACCATCCTTTGAAAGTTACTGTTAGAAAAGCATTAATAAACAGCAACATATATTATCTTGTTAAAATTTTACGCCATAAATATTGATTTATTCTCATAATTTTAGATGACAATAACCAATAATAAAAGCATTACTTAATTATTTAAAATGCACATGCACATTCACGTGTTACAAATTAGCTTCACCCCTCCCACCACATTTTCTTCCTTTCATCCCGAAAACCGGCATCCATCTACAAAAACTTCTTTAATTATAGGAAAATATTTCTTTCTATTCGTTGTAAAAAATTCAGAAAAAATAATAATAAATAAGAGAAGAATAATATAAATCTGCAAATGCGAACTACGACAGTGATAATTCAACAAAATGAACACAAGAGTAATGGTTGTAACCTTCAAACAAGCGAATAGGATGAACCCGCTAGGTTACCAGGTTTGAACTATTATTGCCAAAGTTGGCGATGTTTACATTTACCGGGTTCTCTGCAGAAGTGCTTCCATTACATTTTACAGCTTAATTGAACAACACCTACAGTAATTAATTACATGGATACTTACGAGACACACTAGGTGACGGAGCTGCCGCCACTTGAGCTTGTCGATAATTAGGTGGCAAAGCCATGTCAAACTAGGGGGAAAAAGTATTTAAATTTATACATAAATGACAAAAGAAGGTTAGATATAAGAATGCAAATAAATCTAACACTTAAAGAATAAAAGCAGAACCAATTATAAAATATACAGCAGACAGTTATGCTCATTCCATAGGTTTCGGACTTCATAAAATAAAAGGAAGTTTTACACAAACTTTTAGTGAACAGTCCTCAAAAAGACTGATCACAATCCTTTTAGCTCAAAAGAAATATGCAAACTTTCAATAACCATTTTATTACTTAAAAACAAAATATTGTCTACGATTTTGTTTTCTTTAAATGTATATATTTCTAACAAACATATGTTAATCACACTGCAAATGTTTTCTATGCTGCAGTTTTTTAAATAATTCCAATTCTAAGAACTTACACAACAGAAACACCCTTGTGACATGAAACAACAAATCCATCTCAATATGTTAAAAAATAATAGAATCTTGAGTAAGATAAAACAGCAAAGAATGTCTTGTTAAATTTAACTCATTTGTTTTAATTCAGCAACTGATATGCAACTTTAACATTTATTAATCTTAAAAAACTCGTATTTTCTAATCGAAACTATATACGAGTCACAAATTTCATTTTTTATTTTAAATAAAATTTAACAACTACAGAAATCTGTTAGTCATGAACCTAAATTCATATCCTGTCAGTACTCAATACATCATATTACAGCTATTAACCACATATTTTATCTGACGTTCTTCAATAGTACCTCGATGTCACAAGAATATTTATTTCACTATGTACATTAAAGCTAACTGGATATTTTTTACTTATACGTGTCCATATGATACTTTGTTATTCATTCAGAAGTATGCTATTTTCCAGCATTTGTATTTAACACACTTTTGAGCGCATCACAAATTCAAAGTTTCGTTTCATTTTACAGTATACTTACAAAACAATCTTACGTATTCAGTTATCAAAGGACCTTCAGTTATAATTTCAAGAAACTCTTCCCTTCAGTTTTGTTGCAATGAATCCACCGGACCATTTTCAAGTTTATGTTTTTCTCCTTACAGATTATCCTGTTGCCAGATGAGATGTGAATTTTCTTGTTGCTACACGTTCTTTCTCCGTGGAATGGTGTTTGATGTTGGCCTTGGTTTGATACACCTAGGCTGACGTTTTACCCCACATCGAACATAGTTGAAAGCAATGAGGTTTCTAAGCTCCTTAGTTGAAAGTTTCAAAATATTTTACAAAGTAACTTAGGGCCCTAGTTACCGTCGATCTACTCGACAAAAAGAGAGTCTCATGTCATCGTCTCGATCATTACAGAGATCGGCAAACACAGAGTCGGTGTTGGATCGGCGCGTCGGAAATGTTTCCATCAGCTGTGTAGCTGTCTGACTGTCGTTTTAGAGCTAAACTGAAGACGGCGGAGGTCACGCATAATTTTTGGAAGTGCATGGAATGGATATTTTAATTTCTTAAGATTTGCAAAAAACTCGGGTGTTTCGCTTATTTGATGCTAACGATTCTACATTTATTGGATAATTTCGACTCTTTATCAATAAATTGAGGGGTCTAATCTGGACACCGGTCGAGATCGATATCGGAAAACCAGTCGGGATTCTCTTTCCCTCGACAGCAGAAGGGAGAGCGAGTCTAGCCCCTTCAAATT